CAGGCGTGCGCCACCATGCCCAGCTAAATTTTTGTATTTTTAGTAGAGACGGGGTTTCACCATGTTCACCAGGATGGTCTCGATCTCTTGACCTCGTGATCCACCCGTCTCGGCGTCCCAAAGTGCTGGGATTACAGGCGTGAGCCACCGCGCCCGGCCCCTTCCTTCCTTTCTTTCTCTTTTGAAAAGATGGAGTCTTCCTCTGTCGCGATTTTGGCTCACTGCAACCTCCACCTCCTGGAATCAAGCAATTCTCCTGTCTCAGCCTCCTGAGTAGCTGTGACTACAGGCGCCTGCCACCACACTTGGCTAATATTTGTATTTTTAGGAGAGACAGGGGTTTCACCATATTGGTCAAGGTGGTCTTGAACTCTTGACCTCAGCTGATCCATCCACCTTGGCCTCCCAAAGCGTTGGGATTACAGGCAGGATCCACTGTGCCCAGCATGCCTCTTTCTTAAAAAGGCATTTGGTAGAGATGGAACATCTTGCTACAGTCTTGCTGCTCACAGTGTGGTCCCCAGACCAGCATCATTGACATCATCTGGGAGTGGGTTAGAAGTGTAGAATCACGGGCTCCAGGCCTATTGCATCAGAATCTGCATGTCAACAAGGTTCCCCAGAATGCACATGCAGATTAGAGTTTGACAAGCCGTTCTGCTCTGGGACTTGATGACAGAAGGAGGGGGAATAAGGGAGAGAGAAGAAGCAAATATTTTTTGAGATCTCAAGTCTCACTACCGGTATCTGAAACTTGGGGACCACATGGATTCGGATAACGAGTGATATAGTTATAACTCCAGATGTCTACGCTGGTGGCGGAGTGGCTTTTAGAACACTTTCTGGGGTTGTACAATGCAGAATCAGCAAGTTGAGGCAGAAAGGCCTGAAGCGAGATGGCCAATGTATGTGAGCAAGGCTGACTCTAAGGAGTTGAGACCGGGGATGGTGGCATACACCTGTAGTCTCAGCACCTCAGAAGGCTGAGGTGAAGGGTCGCTTGAGCCCGGGAGGTTGAGGTTGCAGTGAGCCATGGTCAAGCCACTGCACTCCACCATGGGCCACAGAGGGAGGAGACCCTGTCTAAAAAAAAAAAAAAAAAAAAAAGTCTTGAGGCCTTCTGTTTCTGTGATCAGGGGTGAGGTATACAGGTGGTCCCCACAGACTGGGAGAGATGATGCAGGGTTAATATTTTGTGTCAGAGAAGAGGAGTTCATATTTCAGAATCCCTGGAACGCCAGTGTGTAACGAGCAGGCAGGCCGAGAGAAGTGACAACATATGTATGTTTTTATAAAGACTTAGAGGCAAATGGTTAGAGCAGCATTATTCGAAAAGCTCTGAACTGAAAACTACTCAAACGTCCATCAGTGGGTAAACGGATAAACGGAATGTGACATTCAGGAATGAAAACATGATGGCACATGCCACAACGGATGAACCTCAGGAAACATTATGCTCAGAGAAAGACATCAGTCAGATGCAAAAGACCACAGACTGTGTGACTGATTCCCTTTATGTGAAATGCCAGGAAAGGGAACTCTGTAGACATCTAGATCAGTGGTTGACGGAAGGGGAGGGTGGGAGTGGGCAATGACTGTGTAGGGAGGCAAAACCTTACCTCTGTCCTCTTAGCGTCCCTGCTGGGCCCGAGAACCCAACTGACGTCAGATGGATTCGCAGGAAGAAAGCATAGACACTCAATGTAAGGCGTTTTTGTTTTTTGAGATGGAGTTTCACTCTTGTTGCCCAGGCTGGAGTGTCATGGCACGGTCTCAGCTCACTGCACCCTCCGCCTCCCGGGTTCAAGCGATTCTCCTGCCTCAGCCTCCGGAGTAACTGGAATTACAGGCACGCGCCACCACCTCCGGCTAACTTTTTGTATTTTTAGTAGAGATGGGGTTTCTCCGTGTTGGTCAGGCTGGTCTCAAACTCCTGACCTAAGGTGATCTGCCTGCCTCAGCCTCCCAAAGTGCTGGGATTATAGGCGTGACCCACCACGCCTGGCCACCCAGTGTAAGTTTTATATGACACAGGAGCGCTCATAAATAAGGGAATGAAAACCCAAGGCCATGGTCATATATGTGTATTTGTTCTGGTAATTTTCTGCCTCTCCTTCCACTTGCCATTCTTCTCTCCTGCTCTTTCGTAATGCATAGAGCTGCATAGAGGGTAGTGAGTCAAACGACAGCCTTTCTTGCTGCAGTTGGTCACGGGGCTGCCTCTGCTACTCATCCTGTGCCTCATGGACAACAGGTTTTGCTCATGTCCAAGCTGCAGAGAAGTGGAGCCAGTGCCAGGGAGAGGTAGTAGGGACCTATGGGAGGGGGGCTTATTGAGAACAGAGTCCTTGGCACCATTAGGGGCAGAGGGTAGAAGCAAGCACATATGACAGTCCTGTGTCTGCCCTGTTTCTGGAGAGGCAGATGCAGAAAGCAGGTCAGAGGGACCTTGACTCGACAGGAAGTTGGGGGGTTGAGAGTAGGCATTGCACATAATCAAGCCTGTTACTGATTTCTTGGTATCCGATATCGTTGTTGGTTTGTTTGTTTGTTTGTTTTTCTTTTTCTTTTTAACTCTGCTTTAGGCTTTGTTTTAACTGCAAGACCGATGTCATTGTTACATGCTCTAGAAACCTCTGTCAAAATAGTGGTCTTACCTAATGGTACTAAACAACAACCGAGACTGTTTATTGAGTTTGTGAAATCGAGGAGGGGCTGCCATTCTAGGAGCAGTGAGTTGACGTCTGCTCTAACGCTGTTCTGAGACAAGAAAACTTTTTTATACTTTAACAGCCAGGGGTCAGAATTTCTCAAATCGTATATTTGCATGTAGCACAGAAGATGCTCTTTTAATAAAAATCCAGCCGGGCGCGGTGGCTCAAGCCTGTAATCCCAGCACGTTGGGAGGCCGAGGCGGGTGGATCACGAGGTCGAGAGATGGAGACCATCCTGGTCAACATGGTGAAACCCCGTCTCTACTAAAAATACAAAAATTAGCTGGGCATGGTGGCTCGTGCCTGTAATCCCAGCTACTCGGGAGGCTGAGGCAGGAGAATTGCCTGAACCCAGGAGGCGGAGGTTGCGGTGAGCCGAGATCGTGCCATTGCACCCCAGCCTGGGTAACAAGAGCAAAACTCCGTCTCAAAAAAAAAAAAAAAAAAAAAAAAAAAAAAAATCCAGAAATCTGTTGTGCACACTATGTAATAGAGAACAATATCAGATTAAAGCAACAACAGTGACACTTAACATTTGCCCAAAGCTTAGGCCGGGCGCGGCGGCTCACGCCTGTAATCCCAGCACTTTGGGAGGCCGAGGCGGGTGGATCACGAGGTCAAGAGATCGAGACCATTCTGGTGAACATGGTGAAACCTCGTCTCTACTAAAAATACAAAAATTAGCTGGGCATGGTGGCGCACGCCTGTAGTCCCAGCTACTCGGGAGGCTGAGGCAGGAGAATTGCTTGAACCCAGGAGGAGGAGGAGGTTGCGGTGAGCCGAGATCGCGCCATTGCACTCCAGCCTGGGTAACAAGAGCGAAACTCCATCTCAAAAAAACCTCAAAAAAACAAAAAACAAAACAAAACAAAAAAACATTTGCCCAAAGCTTGGTAAATGTTGACGGTCACTGTGTACCTTCAGATAGCCTTGTACTCTAACAGAGAGACTGCTTTCAAAACCAGGTGAAGAGAAGATGCCTCTGCCTGCCTGTACCTGTATATTACTGTCAGTGTCAATCAGGAAAGCGTGGGTTTGTTCCAGTTATCTTCCTTTTACTTGCCAATTCTTCTTTCTCCTGCTCTTTTGTACCGCACAGAGCTACAGAAAGTGAGTGAGTCTAATGACAGCCCCTCTTTTGCGGTTGGTCACACGACACTCATCCTGTGTCTCCTGTCCTCTCCCCTCCAAATCCCCCCCGATCCTCAGCCATCACCTCTGCTGATCCTGGTGGTTTCCCTGGTACTGCGAACGAAACTCTCATTCCCGAGGGGCCTATACCCCTCGAGGCCACACCCTTCTCAAGTCAGGGTTCCTGCACTTGTCCATGCATTTCACAGGCAGACCTGGGAGTAACACGTGTCACCCAAACAGATCTCCAGATTCCATGCATATTCCACCTGCCCTCCCTGCATAGGAGCACCACTCCCTCCTGAGGATGGATCAGGGTCATTAATCCCTGCCAAGATGACAACTGCTCACGCCTGCTGGTCCAACCTGTCCAGTTATGGCCGTAGCTTGAAGGCTTGAAGTTCAGCGGGACCCACTAGTGCTTCGACCCTTTGTTTCCTTTATTTTTATTTATTTGAGATGGGGTCTGGTTCTGTCACCAAGGCTGGAGTGCAAGTGCAGTTCACCGCTTACTGCAGCATCCACCTCCCAGGCTCAGTTGATCCTCCTGCCTCAGCCTCTGAAGTAACCGGTGTACAGTACAGACATTTGTTACCATGAACGGGGTTTCACTACATTGCCTGCCTTAAAGGGGCTGAAGTTTGGAAGGGGGTCCGACCAGGCTAACGCTTGTAATCCCAGCACTTTAGGAAACCCAGGGTGGGCGTATCTCCTGAGGTGAGAAGACGTGGAGAAACCCTGTCTTGTCAAAGAACACGTGCATTCGGCCGGGCATGCCTGTAATCCCCGCTGCTGGTGGGGAGGCTGAGACAGAAGAATCTGGTTGAAACGGAGAACCAGAGATTGGATTACAGCTTTGCAGTCCAGCCCGGGCAGCGAGAAAACTCCACCGCAAAAAGAAAAGAAAAAAAAAAAAAAAAAAAGAAAAACATCTCAAGTTCCCACCACGTTGCAACTAGCACACCATCTTTTGGGCTTGATAATAGTCGTTTTCTAAAACCCCGTATGTGAGATGTAAAGAGATGCACGCAGCTTTCTTCTGACTTTATAAACTCGTTGTATCCCCCGAGGCGGGGGTGCACCGTTCCTGGAAGTACTGCAATACCAGGTCGATGCGTGGAGTGGACGAAGCAAGCTCCTATTCCAACTCCCTGCTCCAAAAATCCATTTAATATATTGTCCTCGGATAGAGGACGTATCAGATATTAAACTGATAAGAACAGATACTACACTTGATCTTAGCCAAAAGGCCGAGAAGCGATGCTGTCGCCTGCGTCCCCGCCGTCACCGTCCCACCGTCATCCACATTACAGTCGCGGTGAGAGCCCCAGCCTCGCTCCTTGCCTCATTCTCTTTGTCTCGTCCACACCGCTATTCACGCCATTACACACTCGGGCTGATTTTTTTATTCTCCACGTTTTAAAAGAGAAATCTTTTACCCTTGCTCTTCCCGCGTGGCCGGGCTTTCATTTCAAATTTGCATGCCCCGCCCTTTCCCCCGGGAGGCGGGACCACCTCGTTTGACTCCGCCCCCTGGCCGCCTCCGCCGTCAAGGGCCGGGCCTCCGCTGGGGGCGACTTCCCTGTTTGTGTCAATCCAGCCAAAAGACAGAACCGAAAGAGACTGGGGGCGAAGGCAAGGTGAGTCTGTGGAAGGGACCTGTCGGCGGAGAGCGGTCCACGTTTTCCTGGAGAAAGACGAGGTCGCAAGGCCTCATCACAAGAGGAGACCAGGCTGCGCTGGGTCTTGAGTTCGTTACCGTCGGGCGGGGAGACCAGCCTCGTACCTGCAGGACGAGGGGCTCATTCCCCTCTGCCGGGCAGGAGGCTGACCACCAGATACGGTCGCAGGGAGGCGGCGCGTGGACCGCGAGGGCCCGGCAAGGGTTCTCCCGAGCGCCTGCGCCCGCGCCCGCGTCTCTCGTGGCACCTGTGCGCGGGCCGTGTCCCGTGCCGCGTAGGGAAAGCTGCCTCTCCGCTTGGGACGCGGATTCCTCTCACCTCCTCCTCCTCGCCTGGCTATTCCTGACGCAGGTTGTCAGGACTCCGCTTGGGTGTCAGCCGTCCGGGAAGCCTCCCTTGATTGAGGGCCCTCCGCACCCGCCCCATATGTGACTGGCGGCCCTCCTACGTAGTTCATCGCACCCCGTTATTTCTATCAACTACCCCACTCGCCACCCTTCCGGGCAGTCCTTTACCTCCCCTCTGAAATCCCATCACGGAGGGCTGAGACCCTCATCCACGCTTATCCCCGTTTCCCCGCGCTGCTCTGGTGCCTGGAGATTCGAAGACGCTCAATAAACCTTTGCGGAGAGAAGAAACGACTGGCCAGGCCGTGATAAGCACGACAGACTCAGAGAGGACGCAGTCAGGAGGCTACTGGCCCGGGGCAGGCGGGAAGGGGGAAGATCGGGCTCGGGGTGGGAGGACACCAGAGGGCTGGGGTGTCTGCCGGGTGCTCTGGGGGAAGATGGGCGTCAAGGCCCCCAGCAACGTTGGGGGAGTCTCTCTGAGACACAGACTGCCGCCTGTAGCTTCTGCATTTACCTTTCCCGGCCTCCTTCCTAACACGACAGTGGAGTTGGGAGTTTCTGTCTCTTATTTGATTTCAGAAAAGCAAGAAGGTATCACAGATCCGATGGTGACACTCAGCTAGTCATGCTCCCCCTGCAGGATGCCTGCTGAACAAACAACCGGCTCAAAAAATGCAGACCGTGCCCGTCCCAATGCCAGCCTCGGGCTGAGGGCTCTAATTCACTCAACAGCCTTAAGAGGTGGGCATTATTATTAGCCACAGCCAGGATTAGGGTGACGCAAGTCCTCCAGGGCTGAATTTCAGAAGCTGTTTCTCCCGAACCCTTCAGTAATCAAAGTAAATAATAGTTCAATGCAATATATCTTATCTCAGTTATTAGATAATCAAGACATTTATCTGCATTGCTGAGTCTTTGGTGCCCCCTTGCTTTTTTTTTTTTTCCCCAATCTCAGCAAGGGTTTCCCTCATTTCACTTTACCCCAATCTCCACCCCGTCACTGTCATCTCCATTCTATTATCCTGTGAAGTACAATATGGCAGCCACCCGTCTCAGCCTCCCAAAGTGCTGGGATTCTAGGCGTGAGCCACTGTGCCTGGCCTATGTATGTATGTATGTATGTATGTATGTATGTATCTATCTATCTATCTATCTATCTTCTGAGGTAAGGTTTCCCTCTGTTGTCCAGGCTCGAGTGCAGTGTTACAATCACGGCTCATTCACCATACATCAAGATAAATGCCAAGTGGGTCAAAGATTTCAAAGTGAAACAAATGGAACTATAAAAGTATACAAGGGCCAGGCACGGTGGTTCATGCCTGTAATTCCAGCACTTTTGGAGGCAAAGTGGGCGGATTGCTTGAGTCCAGGAGTTTGAGACCAGCTTAGGCAATATAGCACGACCTCGTCTCTGCAAACAAGTTTTAAAAATATATAAAAATTGTAAAAACGTGGACCAAAAAGATGAATAGAGGACTGGGGATGGTGGCTCATGCCTGGAATCCCAACACTTTGGGAGGGCAAGCTGGGAAGATCACTTGAGCCCGGCAATTCAAGACCAGCCTGAACAATATAAGGACACTATACAAAAATAATAATAGTAATAATAATAATAAATTAAAAATTAGCCAGGCACGGTGGTGTGTACCTGTGGTTCTAGCTACTCAGGCAGGCTGAGGCGGGAGCATCACTTGGGCCCGGGAGGTTGAGACCAGCCTGAGCAACAGAGCGAGATACCATCACTATTAAAAGGAAAAAATCGCAGTAAAATATGAAGCTTTTTTTCTTTCTTCCTCTCTCTCTGTCCACTAGTCACAGTGTCTTCACTTTCTTTCTTTCTTTCTTTTTTTCATAAAGTCATTACTTACAGTAGCCAAGACGGTGTTTTTCACTTTCTATTTTATGTTGCCCTCGTCAGGCACAGGACGTAGGTAGGAGAGTGCAGACGCTTGCAGGAGCCCAGAGGCCCTCTGTCTCACAACTTAGGACGGTCCCCGTGACCTCAAAACTCACTAGTGAAGGAGGAGGTCTGAGCTCCTGGTGCGCTAACCAGTCATCCCAGTTTGCTAGGGGATTAGGGATTTCCTGGAATATGGGACTTTCAGAACTAAAACGGGCAAAATTCCAGGCAATCAGGGGGAGTTGGTTACCCTAGACCTCTGAGCTGTACTAGACCTCAGAGTGGGCACCCACTTTACGGCTAAAGAAGTGCGACAGTGGGCTCCTGCTCGCGGAATTCACTGGTCTTACCACATTCCTCATCATCCTGAAGCAGATAGAGGAACAGAATGGTGGAATGGCCTTTTAAAGGAACAATCACAATACCAGCTATGGGACAATACTCTGCAGGGCTGGAGCAAAGTTCTCCAGCAGGCTGTGTATGCTCTGAATCAGCACCCAACATATGGTACACTTTCTCCCATAGCCAGGATTCATTAGTCCAGGAATAAAGGGTGGAAGTGGGAGTGGCACCACTCGCCATCACCCCTAGTGATCTACTAGCAAAATTTTTGCTTCCTTTTCCCAAAAAAAATATGTTCTGCTGTCCTAGAGGTCTTAGTTCCAGAGGAAGGAATGCTGCCACCAACAGACACAATAACGATTCCATTAAACTAGAAGTCAAGATGCCACCTGGACACTTTGGGCTCCTCCTACTTTTAAGTCAACAGTCTAAGAAGGGAGTCACAGTGTTGGCTGGGGTCGTTGGCCCGGAGTATCAAGATAAAATCAACCTACTACTCCATAATGGAGGTAAGGAAGCGTATGCATGGAATACAGGAGAACCATCAGGGCATCTCTCAGAATTACCACGCCCTGTGGTTAAGGTCAATGGGAAACTACAACAGCCCCATCCAGGCAGGACCACAAATGGTCCAGACCTTTCAGGAATGAAGGTTTGTGTCACTCCACCAGGAAAAAAAAAAAAACCCACAACCTGCTCAGGTGCTTGCTGAAGGCAAAGGGAATACAGAATGGGTAGAAGAAGAAGGTAGTCGTCAGTACTAGCTACAACCATGTGACCAGCTGCAGAAATGAGGAATGTAATTGTCATGAGTATTTCCTCCTTTTGTTAAAAACATATTTGTATGTGTATACACTTGTACTAAGAAAATATCCTCATTTTATTTCCTTTATCATGTGACATAAGATTTATTGACTTCATATCAGCAGTTAAGTGTTGCTAACTTTATGTAATAGTATTTGGGCTGGGATTGGTGCATTTCCAGTCGTATGAAGGATACTTGCAGTGTTAGGCATCATTATGACCTCATTACTGTCTTTATTTGAAGATTATGTATGATCTCAGAAGATGTGTATGGGTTCAAGTTAACAAGAGGTGGACTTGTGATGGTTAATACTGAATGTCAACTTGATTGGATTGAGGGATACAAAGTATTAATTCTGGGTGTGTCTGTGTGGGTGTTGCCAAAAGAGATTAATATTTGAGTCAGTGGGCTGGGGAAGGCAGATCCACCCTTAATCTGGTGAGCAAAATCAAATCAGCTTCCAGGGAATATAAAGCAGGCAGAAAAATGCGAAAAGGAGAGATGGGCCTAGCTTCCCAGCCTACATCTTTCTCCCGCGCTGGATGCGTCCTGCCCTGAAACGTTACACTCCAAGTTCTTCCTTTCTGGGACATGAACTGGCTCTCCTTGCTCCTCAGCTTGCAGACAGCTTATCGTGGAACCTTGTGGTCATATAAATTAACACTTAGTGAACCCCTCCCCCCTCTTTTTTTTTTCTTCTTTTTATTTTCATGGACCATGTTGAAGTTGTTCCGTGAAACCCCCACCTTCTTTTTTTTGAGGTGGAGTCTCGATTTGTCGCCAGGCTGGAGGGCAGTGGCTCAATCTCTGCTCACTGCAACCTCTGACTCCTGGGTTCAAGCGATTCTCCTGCCTCAGCCTCCCAAGTAGCTGGGACTGTAGGTGTTTGCCACCATGCCCAGCTAATTTTTGTATTTCTTTCTTTTTTTTTTTTTCAATACAAAAATTAACTCAAGAATTTTGTATTTTTAGTAGAGACAGAGTTTCACCATGTTGGCCAGGATGGTCTTGATCTCTTGACCTCATGAGCCACCCACCTCATGCTCCCAAAATACTGGGATTACAGGCGTGAGCCACCACACCTGGCCTGAATGGGGATCTTATGACCAACAGTCAAACAAAGTAGGTCAGGTAATTTCTTTATGGCCAGTTTTTACAGATAGGACAGAGGGAAAATTAGACTAATATTTTTAGGCTTTAAGGCTGGCTTTGGGGAAAAGGGCTTCCGGTTTCTATGACCTGCCTCGGGGCAGAGGGATTCTAGTGTCTATGGCCAGCCTCAAGGGAGAATGGGACTGAGAGACAGGAGGAGAGAGTCACAGAAAACTTTTTACTCTGCTGAGGCTGCTGCTGAGAACTTTTTTTTTTTTTTTTTTTTGACATAAAGTCTCGCTCTTGTTCCCCAGGAGGCTGGAGTGCAATGGTGTGATCTCAGCTCACTGCAACCTCTGCCTCCAGATTCAAGCCATTCTCCTGCTTCAGCCTCCTGAGGAGCTGGTATTACAGGCACCTGCCACCACACCTGGCTAATTTTTGCATTTTTAGTAGAGACAGGGTCTCACCATGTTGGCCAGGCTGGTCTCGAACTCTTGACCTCAGGTGATTTGCCCGCCTTGGCCTCCCAAAGTGCTGGGATTTCAGATGTGAGCCACCACGCTCAGCCAAGACCTTCATTTTAGGGTATTGTTTTCTGAGCCCACTGTGTGCCAGTGAGTATCTACATTTTCTTTTCTGTCTTTCAACAATCTGAAATGCAGCCAGGTGCAGTGGCTTACACTTGTAATCCCAGCACTTTGGGAGGCCAAAGTGGGAGGATCACTTGAGTCTAGGAGTTTGAGACCAGGTTGGGCTGAATGTAGTGAGACCTCATATCTACAAATAATAATAATGAGAATGCCAGGTACAGTGACTCACACCTGTAATCCTAGCACTTTGGGAGGCCAAGTCAGGAGGATCACTTAAGCTCAGGAGTTCAAGACCAGCCTGGGCAAGTGAGACCTCATCTCCATTAAAAATAATAACAATAGGCAGGGCATGGTGGCTCACGCCTGTAATCCAAGCACTTTGGAGGCCAAGGCGGGCAGATCACCTGAGGTCGGGAGTTCAAGACCAGCCTGACCAACATGGTGAAACCATGTCTTAAAAAAAGCCAGGCGCGGTGGCTCAAGCCTGTAATCCCAGCACTTTGGGAGGCTGAGGCGGGTGGATCATGAGGTCAAGGGATCGAGACCATCCTGGTCAACATGGTGAAACCCCGTCTCTACTAAAAATACAAAAAATTAGCTGGGCATGGTGGTGCGTGCCTGTAATCCCAGCTACTCAGGAGGCTGAGGCAGGAGAATTGCCTGAACCCAGGAGGCGGAGGTTGCGGTGAGCCGAGATCGCGCCATTGCACTCCAGCCTGGGTAACAAGAGCGAAACTCCGTCTCAAAAAAAAAAAGAAAGAAAGAAATCTCCAGAGCTAGGGTGTTTTCTAATAAGCCCCTTTGTTAGACCTGTTCTGGGGGCTGAGAACCAGTGAGGCTTAGTAGGATTTTGTTTTCTTTCATTCTGACTCAGTGGAGAGATTAAGAAGAAAAAGGTAGTTCCAGAGACCTAAGCGGGAAGGGATCAGCAGAGGAAAGGCCAGATGATGATGCTGGAAGCCTCTGAGGAAGAGTTGGGGAAAGAAGCCAGAGAGAAAAGACTACTGCTGGATTGTCCGTGGGGCCCACTGAGACTCAAAGCTAAGGTGGGAAGGGTTTCTATTTGCTCAGGACCCAGGAGAGAAAGGTACTTTGCAGATGTTCCCTAAGAGCCTTGGGAAAAACGCCTCCCTCCCTCAACAAAGCAGGCGGGGCCTGTTCAGTTGCCCTGGTAGTCATCACATTGTGAGGTGGTTCCAGTTACAGGCAGAGGGGTCCAAGTGGGAAGAGACAGAGGTGGTGGGAGCAGTGGGCTTTGCCTGTCCCAACCACAACCTGGGGCCTCACACCATTCCATGATCATGAGTAGTGCCTACCACTGGGAGGCCCGGCGCCGGCAGATGGCTTTGGATCGAAGGAGGTGGCTGATGGCCCAGCAGCAGCAGGAGCTGCAGCAGAAAGAACAGGTGCATAAGATAGGCTGGGTTCTTCAGGGTCCTTTCTAGAGCAGGAAGGGAATGGAGAATGGAGACAGAGCCCTAGGAAGCTGCTATTTGGTGAATGTTGTTGAGTATGAGGAAAGCAAGGTCGTTCAGTGTTCTCAGATAGACCATCTGTGTTGGGGGGAACACTATCATCTGACTCAATTTCCCTGTTACACTAGCCTGGGGGAGGGCAAGGAGTCTAGGCCTGGGAGGTTTAAAGGTGTTCCGTCCAACAGGGTAACCACCAGCCTGTGTGCTATATTGATTCTTGGAGTGTGACTGAGGAACTAAATTATAAGTTTTATATAAATTTAGTTTTCAAAAATTTTATTTGGATCGGGCATGGTCACTCAGACCTATAATCCAGCACTTTGGGAGGCTGAGGCAGGTGGATCACTTGAGGTCAGGAATTTGAGCCTGGCCAACATGGTGAAACCCTAAAACTAGCTAGGCATGGTGGCACATGCCTGTGATTTCTGCTACTTGGGGAGGCTGAGGCAGGAGAATCACCTGAACCAGGAAGGTGAAGGTTGCAGTGAGCTGAGATGGTGCCACTGCACTCCGGCATAGGCGACAGGCTGAGATTCTGTCTCAAGAAAAAAAAATTGGGGCCGGGCGCTGTGGCTCACGCCTGTAATCCCAGCACTTTGAGAGGCCGAGGCGGGTGGATCACAAGGTCAAGAGATCGAGACCATCCTGGTCAACATGGTGAAATCCCGTCTCTACTAAAAATACAAAAAATTAGCTGGGCATGGTGGCGCGTGCCTGTAATCCCAGCTACTCAGGAGGCTGAGGCAGGAGAATTGCCTGAACCCAGGAGGTGGAGGTTGTGGTGAGCCGAGATTGCGCCCTTGCACTCCAGCCTGGATAACAAGAGCGAAACTCTGTCTCAATAAAAAAATAAAATAAAAGGAAAAAAAAATTTTTTTTAATGTATTTTATTATTGTAATAGAGACAGGGTCTCACTGTGTTGCCCAGGCTGGTCTGGAACTCCTGGACTCAAGCAATCGTCCCACCTTGACCTCCCAGTGTTGGGATTACGGGTGTAAAACACCGTGCCTGGCCTTTATTTATTTATTTATTTATTTATTTATTTAAATGTTGTCTTGCTCCAGTCTTGAACCTCCTGGGTTCAAGTGATTCTCCTGCCTCAGCCTCCAGAGTGGCTGGGACTACAGGCACATGCCACCATGTCCAGCTAATTTTTGTATATATATATATATGTATGTATGTATATATATATTATTGTGTTTTAGGTTTTGGGGTACATGTGAAGAACATGCAAGATTGTTGCCTAGGTACATACATGGCAATGTGGTTTGCTGCCTTCCTCCCCATCACCTATATCTGATATTTCTCCCCATGTTATCCCTCCCCAACTCCCCACCCACCGCTGTCCCTCCCGTAGTTCCCCCTGACAGACCCATGTGTGATGCTCCCCTCCCTGTGTCCATGTGTTCTCGTTGTTCAACACCCGCCTATGAGTGAGAACATGCAGTGTTTGATTTTTCCGTTCTTGTGTCAGTTTGCTGAGAATGATGGTTTCCAGGTTCATCCATGTCCCAACAAAGGACACGAACTCATTATTATTATTATTATTTTGAGACGGAGTTTCGCTCTTGTTACCCAGGCTGGAGTGCAATGGCGCCATCTCGGCTCACCGCAACCTCCGCCTCCTGGGTTCAGGCAATTCTCCTGCCTCGGCCTCCTGAGTAGCTGGGATTACAGGCACGTGCCACCATGCCCAGCTAATTTTTTGTATTTTTAGTAGAGACGGGGTTTCACCATGTTGACCAGGATGGTCTCGATCTCTTGACCTCGTGATCCACCCGCCTTGGCCTCCCAAAGTGCTGGGATTACAGGCTTGAGCCACCGCGCCCGGCGAACTCATTATTTTTTATAGCTGCATAGTATTCCATGGTGTATATGTGCCACATTTTCCCTGCCCAGTCTATCATTAATGGGCATTTGGATTTGTTCCAAGTCTTTGCTATTGTAAACAGTGCTGCGGTGAACATTCATATGTATGTGTCCTTATAATAGAACGATGTATAATCCTTTGGATATACACCCAGTAATGGAATTGCTGGGTCAAATGGAATTTCTATTTCGAGGTCCTTGAGGAATAGCCACACTGTCTTCCACAATGGTTGAACTAATTTACACTGACTCCAACAGTGTAAAAGTGTTCCTATTCTCCACATCCTCTCCAGCATCTGTTGTCTCCAGATTTTTTAATGATGGATATTCTAACTGGCGTGAGATGGCATCTCAATGTGGTTTTGATTTGCATTCCTTTTTTTTTTTTTTTTTTACAATTTTATTTTTATTTTTATTTTTATTTTTTTAAGACAGCGTTTCATCATATTGGTCAGGCTGGTCTCGAAATTCTGACCTCAGGTAATCTGCCTGCCTCAGCCTCCCAAAGTGCTAGGATTACAGGCGTGAGCCACCGCGCCTGGCTGATTTGCATTTCTCTAATAACCAGTGATGATGAGCATTTTTTCATATGTTTGTTGGCCTCATAAGTGTCTTCTTTTGTAAAGTTTCTGTTCATATCCTTCACCCACTTTTGAATGGGCTTGTTTTTTTCTTGTAAATCTGTTTTAGTTCTTTGTAGATTCTGGATATTAGCCCTTTGTGAGATGGGTAGATTGCAAAATTCTTTTCCCATTCTGATGGTTGTCGAGTCACTCTAATGATTGTTTCTTTTGCCGTGCAGAAGCTCTAGAGTTTAATTAGGTCCCATTTGTCTATTTTGGCTTTTGTTGCCAATGCTTTTGGTGTTTTAGTCATGAAGTCCTTGCCTATGCCTATGTCCTGAATGGTTTTGCCTAGGTTTTCATCTAGGGTTTTTTTTTTTTTTTTTTTTTTTTTTGAGGAGGAGTTTCGCTCATTACCCAGGCTGGAGTGCAATGGCGCGATCTCGGCTCACCGCAACCTCCGCCTCCTGCATTCAGGCAATTCTCCTGCCTCAGCCTCCTGAGTAGCTGGGATTACAGGCACGTGCCACCATGCCCAGCTAATTTTTTTGTATTTTTAGTAGAGACGGGGTTTCACCATGTTGACCAGGATGGTCTCGATCTCTTGACCTCGTGATCCACCCGCCTCGGCCTCCCAAAGTGCTGGGATTACAGGCTTGAGCCACCGCGCCCGGCTCATCTAGGGTTTTTATGGTATTAGGTCTTGTGTTTAAGTCTTTACTCCATCTGGAGTTAATTTTAGTGTAAGGTGTCAGGAAGGGGTCCATTTTCTGCTTTCTGCACTTGGCTAGCCAGTTTTCCCAACACTATTTATTAAACAGGGAATCCTTTACCCATTGCTTCTTTTTGTGAGAGTTGTCAAAGATCAGATGGTTGTAGATGTGTGGCGTTGCCTCTGAGGCCTCTGTTCTGTTCCATTGGTCTATATCTCTGTTTTGGTACCAGTACCATGCTGTTTTGATTACTGTAGCTTTGTAGTATAGTCTGAAGTCAGGTAGTGTGATGCCGCCAGCTTTGTTCTTTTTGCTTTTTGACTTGGCTATGCGGGTTCTCTTTTGGTTCCATGTGAAGTTTAAGGTAGTTTTTTCCAGTTCTGTGAAGAAGGTCATTGGTAGCTTGATGGGGATAGCATTGAATCTATAAATTACTTTGGGCAGTATGGCCATTTCATGATTGATTCTTCCTAACCATGAGCATGGAATGTTTCTCCATCTGTTTGTGTCCTCTTTTATTTCGTTGAGCAGTGGTTTGTAGTTCTCCTGGAAGAGGTCCTTTACATACTTTGTTAGTTGCATTCATAGGTACTTTATTCTCTTCGTAGCAATTGTGAATGGCAGTTCGTTCTTGATTTGGCTCTCTTTAAGTCTGTTATTGGTGTATAGGAATGCTTGTGATTTTTGCACATTGATTTTGTATCCCGAGACTTTGCTGAAGTTGCTTATCAGTTTCAGGAGATTTTGGGCTGAGACGATGGGGTCCTCTAAATATACAATCATGTTGTCTGCAAATAGAGACAATTTGACTTCCTCCTTTCCTAACTGAATACCCTTTATTTCTTTTTCTTGCCTGATTGCTTTGGCTAATTTTTGTATTTTTAGTAGAGATGGGTTTTCACCATGTTGGCCAGAATGGTCTCCATCTCTTGACCTTGTGATCTGCCTGCCTCAGCCTCCCAAAGTGTTGTGATTACAGACATGAGCCACCTCATCTGGCCCCTATTTTTTCTTTTATGTGGCTATTAGAAAATTTAAAATTATACATGTGTCATGCATTATATTTTTATTTGTCACTGCTATTTCAAAGCACTTATAAAGTTTAGAAGCACCCTTGGGTTATTAAAACAAAAACTTTGGGAGGCTGAGGTTGGAGGATTGCTTAAGGCTAGGAGTTCGAAACCAACCTAGGCAACATAGGGAGACCCTGTCTCTACAAAAAAATTCAAAAATTAGCTATGCATGGTGGTGCATACATGTGGTCCAAGCTACTCAGGAGGCTGAGGTGGAAGGATAACTTGGGCCTGGGAGGTCGAGGCAACAGTGAGCCAAGATTGCAGCACTTACTGCACTCCAGCCTGGCCAACATGAGACCCTGTCTCTATTTTAAAAAAAAAAAAAAATTGGCCAGGCGTGGTGGCTCAAGCCTATAACCCCAGCACTTTGGGAGGTTGAGGCAGGTGGATCACGAGGTCAAGAGATCGAGACCATCCTGGTCAACATGGTGAAACCCTGTCTCTACTAAAAATACAAAAAATTAGCTGGGCATGGTGGCGTGTGCCTGTAATCCCAGCTACTCAGGAGGCTGAGGCAGGAGAATTGCCTGAACCCAGGAGGCGGAGGTTGCGGTGAGCCGAGATCGCGCCATTGCACTCCAGCCTGGGTAACAAGAACGAAACCCTGTCTGAAAAAAAAAAAAAAAAAAAAAAAAAAAAAAAAAAAAAAAAAAAAAAATTAACCAGGCATGGTGGTGTGCACCTGTAGTCCTAGCTATGTGCAAAGCTGAGGCAGGAGAATCACTTGAGCCCAGTAGTTCCAGATTACAGTGAGCCATAATCATGCCACTGCACTGCAGCCTGGGTCACAGAGTGGGAACCTGTCTCTAAAAAACAAAACAAAAAACAGGGCATTTTCAAGGAATTATTCTTTTTTTTTTTTTTTTTTTTGAGACGGAGTTTCGCTCTTGTTGCCCAGGCTGGAGTGCAATGGCGCGATCTCGGCTCACCGCAACCTCCGCCTCCTGGGTTCAGGCAATTCTCCTGCCTCAGCCTCCTGAGTAGCTGGGATTACAGGCACACGCCACCATGCCCAGCTAATTTTTAGTATTTTTAGTAGAGACGGGGTTTCACCATGTTGACCAGGTTGGTCTCGATCTCTCGACCTTGTGATCCACCCGCCTCGGCCTCCCAAAGTGCTGGGATTACAGGCTTGAGCCACCGCGCCTGGCCGGGAATTATTCTTTATCCTCTGGCACTAAACACTGCTTTCAGTGCTGAGCTCTCAAGGGAGGAAGCAGGTGCTCAGAGAAAGTGCTATTTCCTGGGCTGGGACTGTGCCATGGGTGCTGTCACCCAGAAATAGTTGTTGGGTGTTGCAGTAGGTGAGGGAGACAGCCAAGGCCCAATTTCAGCCTCCAGCTCTAGGGAACAGAGATCACCACCACCTATACCTCTCTATTCACTTGCCTTGTTCCTGGAAGTTTCTCTGGTAGATGGGTGATTGGGTGGGGAGAGGAGGACACAACTTGCCTGGGGGCTTCTTACCAGGAACTGAAGAAACACCAGGAGGAAGAACAACAATCAGAGAAAAAAATCCAGCCACCTAAGAAGTTAAATGTGCTGCAACCACCAGAGGTGAAATTGTGGATATCACGGAAGCCACCACAGTCGCAGCTATCAGTGCAGCCACCATCGCAGCCACCACCACAGCCGTCATCACTGCCACAGGCACAGGCACAGGCTCAGGCACAGCCACGGCCACAGCAACCACAACCACAGCCACCACCTCAGCCAACACAACCAAGTGCTCAAGCCCCTCATACTCAGCCCACCACTATATGCAATCTCCAGAATGATTCCCAAAGGCCAGGTCACCAGCCTACTTCAGTGGGGACCCATTAAGCTGGAGGGCAATCTCTTTGTATGCACAACAGGTTCCAAAGGGGGCAGAAAATCTTCACAGACTGTGGGCTAGAGCCTGGGAGTGGGAGGTGGTGAGGAGCGGGGCCCTTTGCTTCCATCCCACCCCTGTAGTCCAGAATACATATCTACCACCCTACCCTCTCTGACTCTCCCTAGTACCCTCAGCCTTTAATGCCTTGCTGGTCAACTCTCTTTGGGTGGGTTAATGCCAACCTATGGCTCCTTCCAACTTCTGCAGAGAGTGGCTGAGAAGCTGTCGGCCCCTCTTCCAGGGTGAGAGTGACGGAGGAGGTGGGGTGATCAGAGGGTGAGACATGAGTTGTAGGCTTATTAACAGATATATTGACCCTCATGAAGTCTGGAACAGGGAAGCACAGCACAGCTTCCTAGTTGAGAATCTTCAGGAAGAGCTCAGTCTGTGCCTTGCCCCAGGTAGGAGCTTGTCCTCACCACCACCCCCACCATCACCTGGGTCACCAGACACATAAGGAATCCGGCCCTGTAGTGTTCCATCCTCGGAAAATTGCTGGATGAGTAACCTGTACTTTGTTTCATCATCAGGTCTCACGAACCCAAGCCAATCTAGCCCCACCAAAAACACTCGATATTCACAACTCAAGGTGAGACACAGACACAGACTCTGAAAGACAGACTCAGGGTAGATGAGAATATGTATATGTATGTATGTAAGTATGTATGTATGTATGTGTGCAGTCCAGAGAAACCTCCTTAGCAGGAGTAAGGAGAAGAGACTAGAATTATTTCAAATTATTTCTGGATGGTCTATTCCTCTATTATTCCTCTATTCTTTGCCCCATTAAAAATGTTTGTGTAGGAAGCTGGGTGCAATAGTCCTGGCTTCTTGGGAAGCTAAGGCAGGAGTATTGCTTGCGCCCAGGAGTTCAAGTTCAGACTGCACAACATAGTGAGATCCCATCTCAAAAAAAAAAAAAAAGAGCCGGGTGCGGTGGCTCAAGCCTGTAATCCCAGCACTTTGAGAGGCTGAGGCAGGTGGATCACGAGGTCAAGAGATCGAGACCATCCTGGTCAACATGGTGAAACCCCGTCTCTACTAAAAATACTAAAAATTAGCTGGGCATGGTGGCACGTGCCTGTAATCCCAGCTACTCAGGAGGCTGAGGCAGGAGAATTGCCTGAACCCAGGAGGCGGAGGTTGCGGGGAGCCGAGATGGCGCCATTGCACTCCAGCCTGGGTAACAAGAGCGAAACTCCGTCTCAAAAAAAAAAAAAAAAGAAAAAGAAAAGAACAAAAGTCAGGTGTGTGGTAGCTCATGCATGTAATCGGAGCACTTTGGGAGATGAAGGTGAGAGGATCACTTGAGCCCAGGAGTTTGAGACCAGCCTGGGCAGCAGAGTGAGACTGTCTCAACAACAAAAAGTTTTTTTTTGTTGTTTTTTTTTTGAGACGGAGTTTCGCTCTTGCTACCCAGGCTAGAGTGCAATGGCGCGATCTCGGCTCACCGCAACCTCCGCCTCCTGGGTTCAGGCAATTCTCCTGTCTCAGCCTCCTGAGTAGCTGGGATTACAGGCACGCGCCACCATGCCCAGCTAACTTTTTGTATTTTATTTTATTTTATTTTATTTTTTGAGACGGAGTTTCGCTCTTGTTACCCAGGCTGGAGTGCAATGGTGCGATCTCGGCTCACCGCAACCTCCGCCTCCTGGGCTCAGGCAATTCTCCTGCCTCAGACTCCTAAGTAGCTGGGATTACAGGCATGCACCACCACGCCCAGCTAGTTTTTTTGTATTTTTTTTAGTAGAGACGGGGTTTCACCATGTTGACCAGGATGGTCTCGATCTTTCGCCCTCGTGGTCCACCCGGCCTCCCAAAGTGCTGGGATTACAGGCTTGAGCCACCACGCCCGGCAACAAAAAGTTTTAAAAACCAGCTGGGTGGCCGGGCGCAATGGCTCATGCCTATAATCCCAGCACTTTGAGAGGTCAAGGCAGGCGGATCACGAGGTCAAGAGATTGAGACCATCCTGGCCAACATGGTGAAACCCCGTCTCTACTAAAAATAAAAAAAATTCACTGGGTGTGGTGGCACGCACCTGTAGTCCCAGCTACTCAGGAGGCTGAGGCAAGAGAATCACTTGAACCCTGGAGGTGAGGGATGCAGTAAGCCAGGATCACACCACTGCACTCCAGCCTAGGCAAAAGAGCTACAATAAAAAAATAACAAATAAATAAAAATATTAATCAAGGAAGGCCGGGCGCGGTGGCTCAAGCCTGTAATCCCAGCACTTTGGCAGGCCGAGGCGGGTGGATCACGAGGTCAAGAGATCGAGACCATCCTGGTCAACATGGTGAAACCCCGTCTCTACTAAAAATACAAAAAGTTAGCTGGGCATAGCGGTGCGTGCCTGTAATCCCAGCTACTCAGGAGGCTGAGGCAGGAGAATTGCTTGAACCCAGGAGGTGGAGGTTGCGGTGAGCCGAGATCGCGCCATTGCACTCCAGCCTGGGTAACAAGAGCGAAACTCCGTCTCAAAAAGAAAAAAAAAAAAAAAAAAAAAAAATCCATTAAAAGCACTTAGCTTGAAGTCCAGCTCATTGTAGGCCATCAAACTCAGGATGGCAACTCTTTTTTTTTTTTTTTTGAGTCTAACTCTGTCACCCAGGCTGGAGTGCAGTGTCACAATCTCAGCTGCAAATCTCCACCTGCAACCTCCACCTCCTGGGTTCAAACAATTCTCCTGCCTCAGCCTCCTGAGTAGCTGGGATTACAGGCATGTACCACCATGCCCGGCTAATTTTCGTATTTTTAGTAGAGATGGGGTTTCGCCACGTTGGCCAGGCTGGTCTCAAGTGATATACCTGTCTCAGCCTCCCAAAGTGCTGGGATTATAGGTGTGCACCACCATGCCTGGCCTGGATGGCAACTCTTAACAAGAATATGTAATTGTGCAAGCGTTGGAAAGGTGTCTCTGACAGAGGTGCAAAGGATGAAAGAACTTGAGGCTAGCACTTCTAGGATGAGGACTGGCTGCTACATTTCACTTTGATTCCTCTGGCCTCAAGGGGTTTCACACAATATTCTGAAACCAGAAGCCGCTGACTTGCATTGTTTCCTGTCTCTCCCTCTTCTCAGTCTATCGACTACATACAGCAGTGGTGATCCAGAGATTGAACACAAGAAAGACCTCAGTGGCCATCCCCAAAAAGCAGATGAGCGACCACATCTTCTCAGCATCCAGCAACATCTCCACTCCAAAAGCCACCCACTTGAAGGGGAGGCTGCAAGGAATAAAATGAAATTTTTTTTCCTGGAAGGAATCATGGGACTGGTCAGCTTTTGAGAAGGGATGAGGGGAGAGGGCAGGAGGACTCACGAAGGGAATGGAGAGGGTGGAAGGCAAGTCTATCCTCCAGGCAAAGCTAATAGGAGAACTGGGTCTTGGGTTCCCCCAAGTATGCAACTCCTACTACTATCACTACCTGCCCTAATTCAGCAGTGATTAAGTCTGTTTGGGGCTTTAGCTTATGACCGTCACTGGAGCCGTCATCCATTCCTCCAAGCCCATGTTTACTGAAGAGATAAACTGGGGAAGGAGGGACCGCATCACATCAGAGCAGGCCCGCAGAAGCAGGAAGTGGTGGCAGGCAGTGATGCTCCCAACTTCCAAGCCCAGTGCGATGTCTGGCCCACAGTGGGCACTCAGCTGTCAAATGCATGATGGGGGCAGGGATGGAAAGAGCTTGGAGGAAAGCGGGGCTGCAGCCTCAGAAACATGACACCTGCCCTGGGAAGGGGAGGGGGGCTTGCCTTCTAAAATGCACAGGCCTCTCCATTCCTGGCTCTCAGCCTCTCATCTATCAGGGACAACCGAGAGGTTCTAAAGACCCTAGGCATCCTCCCTGACCAGCCCAAGGTGAAGGAGCGGGTAGGGCTGGGTGTTAGGAAGGTGCAAGCCCTGGGAAGGCCTTTCTTCCTCCAGGCTGAGAAAGGCTGCCTCGGTCACCTCAATCACAAGCCCCACCCAAGGGATCAGCTGGGTATTTCATTGTAGCCCACATAGCATTGCCTTTGGTTTGCCTGAAGGAGCCGTTTCAGTGCAACCCAGGGACATTTAACCCAGGGACATTTCCTGGGAGCAGCTGGGGAAGATAACAGGATGGTGGTGGCACAGAAGAGGAATAGTAAAATTGGAAGAGACTTCAGAGATACACAATGGGAGAAAGAGGGAGGGAGCTCCTGTGAGCAATCTCAAGGAAAGCAGAAGAGAGCAGGACATGTCATCAAGGGCTCAGAGGCCTGGGGAAGAGACTTTGCTGCCCACTGGAACATTAAGAAAACAGTTTCTGCCAGGCATAGTGGCTCAGGCCTGTAATCCCAGCACTCTGGGAGGCCGAGATGGGCGGATCACTTGAGGCCTGGAGTTTGAGATCTGCCCCACCAACATGGTGAAATCCTGTCTCTACTAAAAATAGAAAAATTAGCTGGGTGTGGTGGTGCATGTAACCCAGCTACTTAGGAAGTCTGAGGCATGACAATCACTTGAACACAGGAGGTTCCACTGAGCCAAGATTGTGCCACTGCACTCCAGACTGGGTGACAGAGTGAAACTGTCTCAAAAAAAAAAAAAAAAAGGAAAGTTGTGAAATAGGGAGTATCCTAGGGAGTGTTCACCAGCTCCCTTCCCACTCCCAGGAGACTTTTTTGAACACTTTTTTTTTTTTCCTTGAGACGGATTACAGGCACACACCACCATGCCCAGCTAATTTTTTGTATTTTTAGTAGAGGTGGGGTTTCACCATGTTGACCAGGATGGTCTCGATCTCTTGACCTTGTGATCCACCCGCCTCAGCCTCCCAAAGTGCTGGGATTACAGGCTTGAGCCACCGCCGCCCGGCCTTGAACACTCTTTAAGTATAGTTTATTCTATACACTATAAATACTTTATATTTGGCAGGCTATACACAGCAACTCCAGCCTGACTTCCCTGGACTTCTGCAAGCTTGCCAGCACCACCTTGAGCTCAGCTTGGAGACGACATGGCCTCCTTCCTTCCCCTCATTCTCCCAATCAGCTAGTTACCCAGTTCTGTCATCACTTTTTCCTGTCCATGCATCCTACTTCTAATTTAGCTTTCCCCACCCACCTATGCTCATTTTTCTGTCTGAATGATAAAACGTCAGCCATTTTTTTTTTTTTTGAGATGGAGTCTCACTCTGTCACCCAGGATGGAGTGCAGTAGCACGATCTCAGCTCACTGCAACCTCTGCCTCCTAGGTTCAAATGATTCTCCTGCCTCAGCCTCCTGACTAGCTGTGATTGATTACAGGTGTGCACCACTACGCCTGGCTTTTTTTTTTTTTTTTTTTTTTTTTTAGTGAAGTCATGCTAATGTTGCTCATGTTAAACTTGGAACTCCTGGGCTCCAGAGATCCTCCCACCTCAGCTTCCTGAGTAGCTAGGACTACAGGTGCATACCACTGCATCCGGCTGTAAAACCAAGCCACCTTTAATGAGCAAATATCCTTCTTGTTCTGCTCAAGTACAGAAACCATTTCCACTAGGAGTCAGTGGGAACCTATGGGTTATCTGGGGCTTAGCCCCAGCTGAGTGACAGGAAAAAGAGGGTCTAGACCAGTCCCTGCAGATGTGCTGCTCCACACTGTCAAAGCTTGAGGACAGATGAGGCCTCTGGGACCAGAGTGGGCCGTGGTGCTAAGGTAGTGGTGGAACAGAACCTAGCAGCCGCAGCTGGATACTGATAGCTTCATCTCCTGCAGGCTTTCAGATGAGCAGCTGGGCCCACCGTTTGACCTGCCTGTGTCCACTCACATGGGCTTAGGGTGTGGACTAGAGACTCCCATTTTTTTTTTTTTTTTTTTTTTTTTAAGATGGAGTATCGCTCTTGTTGCCCAGGCTGGAGTGCAATGGCATCATCTTGGCTCACCACAACCTCTGCCTCCCGGGTTCAAGTGATTCTCCTGCCACAGCCTCTCGAGTAGCTGGGATTACAGGCAGGCACCACCGTGCCTGGCTTATTTTGTATTTTTAGTAGAGACAGAGTTTCTCCATATTGGTCAGATTGGTATCAAACTTCTGACCTCAGATGATCTGCCCACCTCAGCCTCCCAAAGTGCTGGTATTACAGACATGAGCCACCACAACTGGCCGAGACATTCCTTTAATAAATATCTTATACAATGATTCTGCCTTTGGCTCTGTTTTTCCTGTGTAGGCCTAGGGAGTGCCAGGTGCCTCCCTCCCCTCCTGTACTATTTTGGCTCCTGCTGTGAAGGGAATAGTAAAACTGCTTTATAGAGAGAAGATTTAGCTGGAGAACAGCTCTGTCTTCCTAGGAACCAGGGACAGTCAATAAACAGGAAGGACAGAGGGCCAAAGGGCCCTTGCTAATCTTACTATCAGATGGGTGGCAGAGAAATTAGCAGAGAGAAGGCCATCACCATCACTTTTTCACATGGTCAAAGTAGATAAGCAAAGGAAAGCATCTATGATCCCCTGAAAGTCCTAGGAGATGGCACTGGATGTCCCCAAAGTCATTTTCTTATTAGTGGGTAGAAAACTTGAAAAGGGTCCTTTTTTTTTTCTTATTTTTTTTTTTTTTAAATTAAAGATGTGGTTTCCAGGAGGCAGAGGTTGCAGTGAGCCAAGATCGTGCCAATGCACTCCGGCCTGGGTAACAAGAGCGAAACTCTGTCTCAAAAAAAAAAAAAAAAGATGGGGTTTCTCCATGATGGCCAGGGTCTTGAACTTCTGACCTCAGGTGATCCACCCACCTTGGCCTCCCAAAGTGCTAGGATCACAGGTGCAAGCCACCGCGCCCGGCCTCTTTTTTTTTTTTTGAGATGAAGTTTCCCTCTTTCGCCCAGGCTGGAGTGCAGTGGCGTGGTCTTGGCTTACTGCAAACTCTGCCTTCTGGTTTCAAGCGATTCTCCTGCCTCAGCCTCCCAAGTAGCTGGGATTACAGGTATGCACCACCACGCCCAGCTAATTTTTATATTTTTAGTACAGATGGGGTATCACCATGTTGGCTGGGCTGGTCACAAATTCCTGACCTCAGGTGACCCACTCGCCTGAGTCTCCCAGAGTGCTGGGATTACAGGTGTGAACTACTGCGCCCGGCCAGCGGGTCCACGTTTTAAAAGCCAGATAAAACAATAGCTTTCTCTATATTCAGAGAGTAGAATGAGCCCCGATGGAGTTGGGGTGAAGTGGCCCCTTCAGACTGACCAGGTGCTCAGTACTTGAAAAGAAAGGTGCCACTTCTGGGAAAGTAAGGTGCCTCAAGAAAATGCCAGGTCAGATTTTCCTCAAGAAAGACCAGCCAGGCACAGTGACTCACATCTGTAATCCAAGTGCTTTGGGAGGCCAAGAAGGGAGGATTGCTTGAGCCCAGGAGTTCAAGACCAGCCTGGGCCAACAGTGAAACTCTCTGTCTCTACCAAAAAAAGACTAACCAAGGGCAGAATCTGAAAGATTCTGAAGCCCCTGAAAGAATCTGGGCGACTCAGAAGATATGAGTGTGTGTGTATGAAGTTCACTTCAAAGCAAGCTCCCTGTGCTGAGGAGGGAAGAGCGTGATGAAGCAGGGCTTCTCCTTTGGCAAAGCCTCTATAGTCCTTCTTTAGTCACCAGGGAGTTGTGGGAGATATAGACCTGGGTTACAGGTGCCTGGAGTACAGGGACAGTAGACAGGTCATGGTGGGTGAGGGGTCAGCTGGTGGGGCACTGATGCGTTTCCTCGGCAGTCCACATATTCATAGCTCTGGAAGACCAGCTGCTCAGAATGGCTCAGGTAGGAACAGGTGAGGGTGCCCCTGGAGAGGAAACAGGCCTTGCTGCCATGGCTGGGAGGAAAAGGAAAGCTCTGGCCTTGTTACTCTGTCTGGGGGTGGGGAGGAGGGGCTCCCTCATTTTCCCTTCCCTCTGGCTCCCACTCTGCCAAGGTAGCTGGGACAGCTGCCCCACCAGTGTTCCAGCAGCTTCCAGACAGCCCTATGCCTGTTGCCCCTATTAGCTTATAGGCAAGGTGAGACTTAGAAAAGTGGCCAGACTTGCTATTCCCAAGAGCCAACAAAGACTCATGGAGTCAGCATGGATGACTCTGCCCATGAGGAAGAGCTGAGTGAGACTGAAGTCAGAAGTGATGGCAGGGATACCAGAGCTCCAGGCTCTACTTACTGGATGTGCAAAAGCACATGGTGGACTTTGATTTTCGGCCAGGTACAGATTTTGCTGAGAGAAAAAGAGAACGTGGGACCATGTGTCACATGGAGCAGCCTGTCAGCTCAGAGGATGCCTGCAGGTCCCAGTTTCCTTATCCCACAGACCCCTTTCCCTCCATTAGGTGCCCCCAAAATGCCACTCCCACCCCTCAGGTGAGTGTGGCAGCTGCACTATCACTCTGACCTGCACTCACTTGGCCCAGGCACATGCTGGACTCCCCATTCAGTAGAAAACAAAACATTCATCTTTCTCAGCAATGCAGGCTGAAGAGCTTTAAGGTCACATATTGTAAAGATTAACCAAATTCCAGCCTGTTTTTCATTCTAATCAAGGTCCAAACAGGCAGAGGCTGGGACCCTGAACTCTTGCTTATTACATTCTTGGCCATGGGAGGGCAGGCCAGATGCTGGTTGCAGAATTTGCTAAGCAATCAGGAAAGCTGGTGGGTATTAAGTGGGTTCCTAAGGCAGGCACGCAGCTAGGGGAGAAGAGATCAAGGGGTACTCACTATGTGTTTTCATCCTGTATCCTGGTGGCTACTGCATAAAACATCTGTCAAACAAATGGGCACAGGGTTAGCCCCAATTCCAGCTGACTCTTTCTCACCACCACACATCCACACTCCGGTGGGCAGGGCTGGCCAGGGAGAGGAGAGTCACCTGTTCACTAGCCAGAGGGCCAATGTGTAGGAGAAGGTTGTTGGAAACCTGCCCTACCACGAGGGACAGGTGCAGAACCTCAAGAGTCAGCTGCGTCACTGTGATGGGGTAGTAGTTGCCATTGAAGATGTTTAAGACATTCTGGAGATGAAGACAAAGGAAGGGAGGAGTGAAGATGGCCCATCCTTAGGAGAAGGCAAACAGTTGCAGAAGCCTGGCTGGCTGGCCTGAGCCCCATGACAAGCTTCAGGTGCAGAGGACCAGTACTAGGAGCCCTTGGGAGGGGCTCTGAATGGTGAAGAAGTTAAGCTGGTGCAGGATCCAGGCTCACCCTGTACGGCTTCTTTCCATTCAGTCCTGTCCATCCAGGGAGTCTCAGGCACTGTCACCCCAACCACCCCTATGATTTACTTAGCTGGCCCTGATTCTGATCCCTTACTGTGTACAGTCCCAATCCTTACTGTCTGTCATGGAGCTCATGCTCCTACCTCTCTTCAGGCTCCCAACACCCTCTTCGTGCCATAAGATCCCCAGCTTCCCATGCCCAGGGTCACAAAAGCAGACAAAGATTACAGCGAAGTATTGCTGGGAAGGGGGGGGATGGAGCCCAAGGGCACCCACCCACCGTTATGTTGAGGTGGATATCAGACTCGCCAAAGGCCACCGTGGAGGAGTTGAGGCCTGCAGGCTGCACAGGGATGGACCGGGGAAACAGGAAAAAGATGACGAAGGAGGAAGTCACCAGGCAGATGAGCACCGCCAGGAACACAAAGAGCTTCCTGTGGGAAAGCAGGACCCAGGATGGAGGAATGGAAAAGTCTGAACACCAAGGAAACTTGGGGAGGGGGTTCAGACACTCCTTTCCATATACGAGGCGTTCCCCTGCACACCACCCCAACATTTAGCTCCCCAGATGTGGCCCAGAGTGAGAAGACGCACAGAACTGGGAGGCAGACAGCCTGGTTTCCACCCCAGCTCTCTGTGCCCACTGACCCAGTAACATGGAGCAGCCCACTTACCTCCTTGTCTCAGTTGGTAAAAGGCAGATAATTGTACCAACCTCACAGAATTTGTTATCGGCTAATATATGAAAAAATACTAATCACAGGTCCTTGCACATGGCGAAAGCACAATGAATGCTAATTATCACTAGAAGAAGTAAGTCCATATTTGAAAGTTCTGAATTTTAACATTCAGAACAGGACACCATCCATTCAACTCAAAATTCAGATATGCATTAGAGAGACAGTACTTCGTTAGTATCTTTTTTTTTTTTTTTTTTGAGATGGAGTTTCACTCTTGTTACCCAGGCTGGAATGCAATGGCGCGATCTTGGCTCACCACAACCTCCACCTCCCAGGTTCAGGCAATTCTCCTGCCTCAGCCTCCTAGTTCGTTAGTATCTTATGACGGGCACTGCTAATCTCTTCTTCTTCTTCTTTTTTTTTTTTGAGACAGTCTTGTCCTGTCAGCCAGGCTGGAGTGCAATGGCACAATCTCAGCTCACTGCAACCTCCACCTCCCGGGTTCAAGCAATTCTCCTGCCTCAGCTTCCAGAGTAGCTGGGATTACAGGCACCAGCCACCATACCTGGCTAATTTTTGTAAAAAATGGGCATTTCACCATGCTGGCCAGGCTGGTAATTTCTTTCTTTCTTTCTTTTTTTTTTTTTTTTAGATGAGGCCTCACTATGTCACCCAGGCTGGAGTGCAGTGACGTGATCTTGGCTTACTGCAGCCTCCACCTCCCAGGTTCAAATGATTCTCCTGCTTCAGCCTCCCAAGTAGCTGGGATTACAGATGTCTGCCACCATGCCCGGCTAAGTTTTGTATTTTTAGTAGAGACAGGGTTTTGCTGTGTTGGCCAGGCTGGTCTTGAACTCCTAACCTCAGGTGATCCGCCTGCCTTAGTCTCAAAAGAGCTGGAATTACAGGGATGAGCCACTGCGCCCAGACTAATTTCTAATTCTGGTACAGTGGGGTGGCTGAGAGGGTTTGGCTTGGTAGGGACTCCCAGGTTGACACCAGGCCCTTGGGAGGAGGCTGTGGGAGTTCCATGTCAGATGGACTCAGATCACAAAATGGTGGGTCCCAGGGCCACCTGAGGTTCTGAAATGTCCCAGAACAGGCAGCAATAGGTTTTTCATCTCTACTGGGAGAAAAACAAGCAACTCTGAAGTGCCTCAGCCAGGGAAGTGCTTTAGAAAATGTTTTCAAATCAATTGCAGCCGGGGCCACGTGCTTGTTCCCTCCTTCCTGGGAGGACTCGCAGTGCTACTAGATCCTTTCTGTCTCGGAGAGGGGGTCATGCTTCCTGGAAGCAGTGAGGCTTAAGGAAGGCTACCAAGTGGCTTCATGTGACATCTGCTGTGCCCATAGCTGCTGTTGCTGCTTTTTTTTGGTAAAGATGGGGTTTCACCATGTTGCCCAGGCTGGTGTTGAACTTCTGAGCTCAAGTGATCCACCTACCTCAGCCTCCCAAAGTGCTGGGATTACAGGCGTGAGCCACCACACCTGGCTCTGGAGCTTCTTAAATTAGGAAAAAATCCTGCCGGGCGTGGTGGCTCAAGCCTGTAATCCCAGCACTTTGGGAGGCCGAGGCGGGTGGATCACGAGGTCAAGAGATCGAGACCATCCTGGTCAACATGGTGAAACCCCGTCTCTACTAAAAATACAAAAAATTAGCTGGGCATGGTGGCGTGTGCCTGTAATCCCAGCTACTCAGGAGGCTGAGGCAGGAGAATTGCCTGAACCCAGGAGGCGGAGGTTGCGGTGAGCCGAGATCGCGCATTGCACTCCAGCCTGGGCAACAAGAGCGAAACTCCGTCTCAAAAAAAAAAAAAAAAAAAAAAATCCTTGGACATAAGGAGCTGGTACCTCTGTACCCAGTGAGGTTCAGGCTTTCTATATAAGAACTAATAGGAAAAAATTAGGGGGGATCGAAATAGAAGAGACAAAGGGAGCAGCCCCCAGGGGTGATGGCTTGTGGAACTGGGGGAGGAAGGGGAACTTACGTGTGCTTGGGCTTCAGTCTCTGGTCCCCATAGGGAATGAGAGCCACCAACTGCTTCTCCAGCTCTAGAGAGGGAGGGAGAGTGAGAGGGAGGGCCAAGATGCAATTGTGACAAATATTTCCTGTGCCAGCCTCCCAGATGCACCCCTCCACCCACACCATACAGCAATATTAGAAGCATGCCACCTCTGCCCCAGAGCAAGACTGGAAGCACTGGACTCTGCTACCAAAGTTGGCAGCTCAGCTTTACCATCCCTAGAATGGAAGTAGGATTTCTACTAATAGGTATGGAGAATCTCTGAAAGTCACCAGCAAATCAGAGGTTCCCAGCATCTTTGGAAAGGTAATTTGAAACTTCTTGAACCGAACAAATCCTAAGACACACAGTGTTGCTCAGGAGCACGGTGGCTAGAACTCCTCTTTCCCACAAGGGGCTGGGGAATACAACCAGGGCAGGAGGGCAGGTTTTCACAGGGAGCCCAAGGATAGTAACTCCCTGGCCAGCTTGAGACTGGGAGGTCAAGAGCTGGGAGCAGATCTAACCCCATCCAAGGAGACTCAGAGGAACTGCCCCAGACCAACAGGCTAAGAACTTTCCCTGGATTTTAGGCTATTTCCAGAGCCTTGGGCCACTCACCTCGGGGAATCCTGCCACTGCCTTGGCAGGTGGGACAAGTCACAAAGCTGGCACCAGCAGTTCCTTCACAAGGCACACGGGAACAAAAAGACTTGCTGCTACTGGTACTGGAGTAGCTGGCAGCCTTGCTGCCAACGGTTGGATTGGAGGACAGGATTGACTTGTTCTCATCCTCCTGCCAAGAGCCCAGCTGGGAAAACGTCTTACCCATTCTTCGGGGTGGAGTGGGGGTTCACTAATGAGAAAAGACCAAAGTTCAGTGCTAAGCTTGTTAGCACTGAAGCCAGATGTAATTTTGGTTCGAGGTTCTCAAGATTTGCAAGGAACCCCACCACAGTTTAAGCAAGCTCAAGCCTAAGGAAGATAGGGTGTGAAAAATCAGGCGGTTACATGGGACTCTCAGCATTTCAACTCCTTCCATTATTGTTAAAGAGACCACTCAGCCTCAAAAGGGAAAAGAAAAGCAGAAGTTATTTCACTTTAAGGAACCTCTGTAAGTGAATGGCAGAGGATTTAGTTTTTCTCTGGAAAAGTTGCTGAGCTATCATTCACTTCAAGGGAAGGAAGTTGGATAGGGCAGAAAAGATTCCTTGAAACAAGAAGGAGAGAGGAGGCCACACTGGTCACAGCTGTGGTTAAGACCCCTAAGGAAGCCCTGGTAGAAAGCAGACACATCACTGCTTTCTGAGGCGGGGTAAGAAACCCTGAGGAGAAATCAGGGTCTTTCACTAGGAAAAGTCAAGGCTAAATCTGGACTCTGTGTGGCACAAGGAGGCCGGCAGGTGAGCCACACAGATCCTTCTGGGCTAAAATACAGGGAGACTCACCTGGTTCAGTTCTGGGATCCCAGGCTCCTCAGCTGCACAAGGGCGACACTTCAGGGGTGTGTCTTTGGGGAGAAGGGCTTCTAAGCGCAGAGTGGGCTGCGCTGGGCGGTGGTGGGGAGGAGAAGCGCCGCCTGCCGCCTTCAGGAGTCCTAGGGGAGCGAATGTGTCGCACTGGAGAGTGGTGATAGGAAGGACCCTAACCTCCCCGAAGGGCCAAGCTGATTCCGGGCTACATGGCGGCTCTGTCTTGGGCCGACAGGGTGTGCGCGGACGGAGAAGGTGTGACTTCATTGAGGGAGGATTTCAAGTCCCACCAGACACCCCGAGTGGCCGTTAGTCAAGCTCGGTACCTGGGCAGGGGGCGCCAGTGTGCTGGGCGAGGCAGCGGCATAGGAGGTCTCCTGACCTCCGAAAGGGAACGCAGAGAGTCTGAGGAGGGTCTTACCAGCGGACTACCGCAGCGACAGAAACAGCAGCAAGCGGAATCGAAAGTGCGGGAGCGGACACTCGTCTCAAGCTTTGACTCAGTGCCCAAGGAAGTCCCGCCCCAGCCCCTCCGGGCCCACCCCCTCGCCCCCGGGCCCGCCCCTTCGCCGCGCAGCGGCCTGAGACGCTCTCAGCTCTCCCGAGCGTCACCCGACGCCCTGGACGCTGCTTCCGCAAGGACTAGCCAGTCCAGGTAGGAATTTCCAAGAACATTTATTTCACCATTCTTTAAGTGGTTATGTAAAATTACAACGGAGCGGACGACCCGGGCCTTCCTGGCCCTCAATTATAAAACTCCGATGGTCAAGACAGGTCCCGCCCATCAAGCCAATTACAGACACCCAGCTGCTCCATCTTCAATCCGGAAGCCCTGATTAAAACGTTTTAAATAATGAACGGCCTGGTTGGCTTGCAGTTTTAATCCTGGTTTATTTAAGTAGCATTCAGGAGTTATACTGTAAATAAACATCATTATGGCTAATGACTAATTAAAATCACCATTTATTACAAATACCAACCAGGTTAGATAGTATTTTAATTATCTTTCCCCCCTTCGGTCTGGGGTTCAGATTATTCCTTTTCTGGAAATCATTTTCATGGATAAAATGTTTAGCATTTTTTGTTATCTCTTCCTTCACCAACTCCCTTCTGTAAACAGAGTGAGAACTCGGGCCCCTGGACAAGCTCTGTCCCACTTATCTTGGGGTTAAACCAAAACTTTTTCAGCAACTTTGCCCCCGTCCAAGTTCTGCAGAACATCAGCTGCCTCTTCCTGTTTTAGGCTTTCTAGGGCTAGATACATCTGAATGGACTTCATGCATTAAAGAAGTCATCAGCATTTCCTATACCTCATACACACTCATTTGCCCACCCTGAACTTTACTGACATTAATTTAGGAACCTGCCTTTTGCTTTTCACATGTTTCTATTTCCCCCACTGTACTGTAAAATAAGATCTGCCCTGACATTAAGAAAAAAGGTAACTGTTAAATTTATTTTTCCCTTTAAATAATAGGATTTTTTTCCTTTTCTATAAGGTTAGCAAAATATTTCACACTACCTACTTAAAATTTTTTCCCTTAAATAAAAATGTATGCAGAATTACTATAATAGACATTGCTCAATAAGTGCTGGTGGGTTAATGAGCACCCTCTTCCTCCTCTCACTGAAATGCAGAGATCCTGAAAGTTGGATACTCTTGAATGCACTGTGGAGTCTTTAGCAATAATGCCAATTATTAAGTCTTGCAGGAAAATTACTTTCTCCTTGAGAAAGGAAGAGTAACAACATTCCTATCATGCTCTGGGTGTTGTTTCAATGCCAAATAACTATGAAGCTTGGGGTGGATTACAGAAATTATGAGAATAATTCTTGAAAACAACTTTCAAGGTTAATTTCTTTCAAAACCTGACAATTAACCGATACTCCCATAAAAAAATCCACATTAACCAAAGAAAAATCCCCAACTTCAATAAAAGCAGAAAGAAAAATGGTTCTATATGAACTTGAAGTTACACTTGTTGATGCACTAAAAATAAAGGCGTTTTATCCAAATCAAAACTGTCTTCCTACTATTCTATTCATCCAATGTCTAAAGTGAAAATTTAAGTTCTGGTCTTTGATTTGCTCCCCCAAATACTGTAACAGGTACTGTCTTGGTAACTCAATGATGGGCTCTATACAGATTCATCAGATGAAAAGCAAGCAAGGGCTTAACCCCAATGACAGAATAAAGATCATCTCTGAGCAGCAGGCAACTATTTAATACAAGGTCACTCCTCAATAACGTTGGCTGTACCAGTCATTGTTGTTGATCTGAAGAAGTTCTGTCACAACCTGCAGGATGTTGTAATTATGTTTCTTCAGCAGCCGTAGGTTCAGCTGCCTGTCACAGAATCCCATTTCAAAGAGATGGGCCATTAGGGCTGCTGTCTGATGTTCAGAAACTGATGGCTGTGCAGAGAGACAAGAAAAGCAAAAGAAAAAAAATTCTGTATAATTTAAATGTTTATTTTATACATTTTTATCATCTTGTAAGCATACTAGTCTTTGCAGATTTATTCAAAGTGCTAGGTAATTAGATTCAAGGCTGTGGCACTCCTGTGTACTTAACACCAACGGTTCGGACTAGGAAGGCCCTGTCTTAGATTAGGTGTGTGTATACTTGAAGGAGGAGAAAAGGGAAACTGGGGAGCTAATAAACTGTACTTAGTACTAGGAGAATGCTTCATGGGGGACTTTCAGGAAGAAGGATTTTTTGGCCAAATGAAGGAATGACAGCAAGGCCTGGAGACCTTGTGAACATAAAGGTAATTGTGATGATGAGGCAAGTATGAGCAAAATGAAAGTGTTACTGAGGCTGGGCGCGGTGGCTCAAGCCTGTAATCCCAGCACTTTGGGAGGCCGAGGTGGGTGGATCACGAGGTTGAGAGATCGAGACCATCCTGGTCAACATGGTGAAACCCCGTCTCTACTAAAAATACAAACAATTAGCTGGGCACAGTGGCACGTGCCTGTAATCCCAGCTACTCAGGAGGCTGAGGCAGGAGAATTGCCTGAACCCAGGGAGCGGAGGTTGCGGTGAGCCGAGATCGCGCCATTGCACTCCAGCCTGGGTAACAAGAGCGAAACTCCATCTCAAAAAAAAAAAAAAAAAAAAAAGAAAAGAAAAGAAAAAGAAAGAAAGTGAAAGTGTTATTGAAAGATGGTATGGGAAATTTTGTCATACATGCAGAGGAACTGGACAAAAAAAAAAGCTTGGGAAATTACAACCTGGGAAGTCTTCTTGAGTTTTTTCCCTCCAAAAGAATAGATAAGAGGAAGTTAACATTGATTCAAGCCCTGTAGTAGAAGCATTACCTTCCTAAATCCTCCTAACAATGCTTTGTTTGTTTGTTTGTTTGAGACCAGGTCTCACTTTGTTCCCCAGACTAGAGTGCAGTGATGTGAACATAGCTCACTGCAGCCTCAGCCTCCTGGGCTCAAGTGATCCTCCTGCTTGAGCCTTCTGAGCAGCTGGGACCACTGGTCTGCCCTACCACACCTGGATACTTTTTAAATTTTTACTAGAGATGAGGTCTCACTTGGTTCCCCAGACTAGAGTGCAGTGGTGTCAACACAGTTCACTGCAGCCTCAACCTCCTGGGCTCAAGTGATCCCCCTGCCTGAGCCTTCTTAGTAGCTGGGACCACTAGTCTGCCTTACCATACTTGGATAATTTTTAAATTTTTACTAGAGATGAGGTCTCACTATGTTGCCCAGGCTGGTCTTGAACTTCTGGGCTCAAGTGATCCTTGAACTCTGGCCTCCCCAAATGCTGGGATAGATGTGAGTCACCTCACCTAGCCTCTGGTTCTGCTATTGTCCCAATTTCATAAAGTGGGGATGATGAAGCTGTACAACAGAAAGCTTATTTAAACTTTGGAGGCGGGCATGCTTAGAATCAAACCCCAATCTACCATTTATTTACCAACTGTGCTATCGATTCCTTTATGAACTGAAGATATAGCAAACCTCCTACTTTGCAGTGTTGTTGAGAAAGTATGTAAAGATGAGAGGAGTATGCAAACATGTTGAGCACAGTCTGGTGTTTCCCTCACACCTGATTCCACTATTTCCTTCTACCTTCTTATTTCAGAATAGATTATCCATCCTCTTTTCCAGGTTAATAGAATGTACCTTGCTTTGTATCTCATTACCTCTCACTATTTCAGAAATCTTCCTTCATCTCCAATCTGTCTCTCATCTTTACCATTAACCTCTTTCACTACTGGCTTGCCCATCTCTGAAGTCTCACTCATCTTTAAAAATGTTTCCTCTTATTAGCTGGGCATGGTGGCGCGTGCCTGTAATCCCAGCTACTCAGGAGGCTGAGGCAGGAGAATTGCCTGAGCCCAGGAGGCGGAGGTTGCGGTGAGCCGAGATCGCGCCATTGCACTCCAGCCTGGGTAACAAGGGCGAAACTCCGTCTCAAAAAAAAAAAAAAAAAAAAAAATGTTTCCTCTTGTCTTCTAGCTTCTGCCTGTTGTAGCCTAGCTATTTGAAAGTGTGGCATACTTGCACACTCAAATTCCTCACCACCCTTTCACATCTCTCTGTAGCCATGTCCCACTTACTAAAACACCCTTCCCTAAGTTCCAGCATACAACTCTCTCTTCATTTTCCTCCTAGTTCTCAGTTTTCTTCCAGAGTATTTTTTTCCTGATCCTTAAAGGTTGCTTCTTGCTTTTCCCATTATTCCTGGATCATCTCATCCCATCAGATGGTTCCTGCTATAATCTCCAGACAAGTGACTCTTTAAGCTTATATCACCAGGCCAAATCCCTCCCCTATTATCTGGATGGATACAGCTGGCCTGTCATATCTGTGGGTTCCTTATCTATGGACCAATCAACAAAGGGTTGAAAATATTTGGGAAAAAAAAGGAACACGTACAGACTTTTTTCATTATTCCCAGAACAATATAGTATAACAACTCTTTACATAGCATTTACACTGCATTGGGTACTATAAGTAATGCAGAGGTGATCTGAAGCATATGAGATGCACTGAATGCAGTGGCTCAAGCCTGTAATCCTAGCACTTTGGGAGGCTGAAGCGGGAGGATTGCGTGAGGCCAGGAATTAGTTGCCCTGGGCAACATAGTGAAACCCCATCTCTTCAACTATATATATATATATATATATATATATATATATATATATATATTTTTTTTTTTGTGCCATGACTCGGATTAAAATATTTTAAAAAAAAAACAACAAAAAAAAAACTAGCCAGGTGGATGGGTGCGGTGGCTCATGCCTGTAATCCCAGCACTTTGGGAGGCTGAGACAGGCAGATCTCCTGAAGTTGAGAGTTCGAGACCAGCCTGGCCAACATGGAGAAACCCTGTTTCTACTGAAAATACAAAAAATTAGCCGGGCGTGGTGGTGCATGCCTGTAATCCCAGCTACTTGGGAGGCTGAGGCAGGAGAATTGCTTGAAGCCAGGAGGTGGAGGTTGCAGTGAGCTGAGATCATGCCATTGCACTCCAGCCT